CCGTGTTGGCAGCGGCGTTTACATTCGTGATCCTCAAACCGGGCCATGGCTCTCGGCCACCAGACCCCTCGTGGGCGGGCTGGTAGGAGATGCCAGACTGGATCCTCCAGGTCCTGGGCCGTGGGAATGGGCGGTCTCCTCCCCGCCGTGCCCGGGTACAGATAAGGAAACTGAGGCCCAGGGAGAGGCCTCGGACCCGGCGTCCCCCGCCTCGGGGCACAGGAAGGGGGTCTGGAAGGCCTGGCGAGGGCAGCCGGGGGTGGGAGACGGGCAAAGGGCCGCTGGGCACTGTTTGTCCGCTGACCCGCTGTATGAAGTCACCAATGAACCGCCCTCCCGCCCCTGCCCTACCTCCGCTTCCCCCTGCCCCCGCTCAGGGCTGCGAGGCACGGCTCCTCCCGGCACTGGCCCCTGGACATTCTGTGATGGGTGCTCGATCAGTCCAGGAGGTCTTCCTGGAGGAGGGGGCACGCTCTGATGTCAGGGTCGACTCTGGCGAGGCGGGGCAGGGCATCCTGGAGGCGGGACAGCAGGGCAGCGGGGTGGAGGGCGGCTGGGGCCTCGGGAGGGCACGCTGCTCTCAGCCGCCTGGAGCTGACTGCGGGCTGACATCAGGCGGGGGATTGTGTCTCCTGGCCGGGCGCTCCGCGGGCGCCGCTGCCCTGGGCATGCACGTGTCTGCGGAGCGAGGCTGAGGTGCTCCAGCTGGACAGGACGCTGCCGGAGCCGCGGGCAGCTGCTGACAGCGCCGGGCGCCCGGCCGAGCCTGCACCTCCCCGCCCGGCCGCCAGGCTGCCGCGCTGACCCCTCCCAGAGCGGCAGGGGCCCCACCTCAGACGCTCCCAGTGCCCGTGGGGACCTGGGGTGGGGTTAGCCCAGAGGGGGCATAGCCCGGAGGGGCACAGCCCGGAGGGGCACAGCCTGGAGGGGGCACAGATAGGAATGGCGGCGAGCTGAGCTCAGCACCGCCGTCTGGAGGAGTCCCGGACCGTGTCCCCGTGCTCCTGGCGAGGCGGGAACTGAGGCGCAGAGACCCCGGACGCACAGCGGAGCCGGGCTGGCGCTGGGGGTCCTGCCGGGGCGTCGGGGGAGGCGTGCACCCGGCACAGCCTCGGATCCCTGTGTGACCCGGTTTCTGTCGAGCCCAGTGAGTCCTCTGGTCGGCGAAGTGGGGCCATGATGATCTTTTTGGGGGTAAGCAGCAGAAACACAGTCCCGGGGGCGCTCTGCGGACCTGGGGCGGGAATCGGAACCCCAGGAGTCGGGACGGCAGGCAGCCTGGCTTTCTCGGGCTCCCTGTGTCCTTCCTCTCCCCTCCTGGCCCAGCACCTCGGCCCCCACCCCTGTGGCAGCAGCCGGAGCACCCATGTCCGCACCCGCAGACGGCCAGCAGGGACTGGTGTCCAGTCGCGCTGTCACCGCCGAGCCTGGGTGCCCGCCCACCCTGCCCTCGGGGAGTGTGGCCAGACGGGCGGCAGCCAGGTACATGGCTCAGGGCAGGACATGGAGGGGTGCTGGGCTGGCACCCCAGACCTCTCGGCTGCACCCCTAAAAGGTGGCGTGGGCTGCGGTGTGACACGCAGCAGAGGCGTGGTCAGCAGGGGGAGCATGTGCTGCCCCAGGCGGGGTGGGGACCGCAGATCCGGCCTTGACCCTGACCCTGCAGCTTCCTGGTCCCTCTCCGGCCTCAGGTGGCTCGTCCTCCACACGGGGCCTCGGAGGGGGACCTGCCTGGCGGGGGGTGCGCTCGGGGCCTGGCAGGCCTGGGTTCCCGTGGCAGGCAGCGGCACACGTGGCTCTCAGCCGGGAAGGGGCCGTTGGCGGGAGTGAGGCCGCCCTGACGGGGCCTGGGTTTGGCCGGCCCCTGGGAGTGGCCCTGCCTCCTCTGAGCCTCCATCTCCTCCCTGCCAAGTCGGGGCCCCATGTCTGTTCTGCCCCCGCAGCTGCCCAGGACTAGGGAGGGTGCTGGGGCCGTTGTGCTGTGTGCTCTCCCGCCACGGTCAGGCCGAGGTGTGCGTGGCGCCCTGTGCCCCACAGACCAGAGGGCTCTGCCCGGCGCTGCTCTGTCTGCCCCCCCTCAGCGCGTCTGGACAGCCGGCCTGCCCCCTCCTCCCCCCGCCCCCCCAGCGTCCCCCGCCGGCCGCCTCCTCGCACCCCCGCTCCCCGGACCGGCCGCTCAGGCTGCAGCCGTGGCGGGCCGGCGGGCCAGCTGGCCTCAGCCGCCCCAGGGGCCGCGGCAGGTCTGCCGGCAGGGCGCCCGGGAATGCGGGGGTCCCGGCTCCCGCGGTCCGTCTGTGTGGCCGGCGCGGTGCTCAGGCTGTCTGGTCGGCCCGTCTGTCTGCGTGCGGAGCTGTCTGTGAGTCTGGCGCCTTGTCTAATCATTGAGGGGCTGTCTAGGCCTGCCTGCCGGAGGTCTGGTCCCTCACTCAGCTTTGCTCCTGATGCACAGCAGTGCCTGGCACCCCCCCCCCTTCCATCTGTGTCCCCCTCCATCTGCACACAGGGGCCCTGGTGTCCTGCCCGGCCGGGCTCCCTCCCAGGCCACCTGACCCTGGCAGATGGGTCTGCAGGAACCGCTGCCCCTCACCCCGACCGCCCACACACCTTTCCTGCACTCCCCCCCCCCCCAGCTCCGGGGCTCAGCACCCTGACCGCCCACAGACAGGACTCTGAACGACACCCCTCACCCCGACCGCCCACACACCTTTCCTGCCCCTCCACCCCGCCGAGCTCGGGGTCTCAGCTCCTCCCTCCCTCCTCGCCTGCCGCCCAGACAGGACTCGGAACGTCTGTCAGGGCTCCTCACACATTCCCGGGAGAGGGAAAGCGGCCGGCTCCAGCCGGTCCTTGGCAGGTCTCCCCAAACCTCACCGCGTGCGCCTGCAGCTCTTCCCTGCACATCCTGTGATCACCGGAGCGGGGGACCCCCCCGGGGAGAGAGGACAGACCAGCAGGTGAGGGGGGGCCGAGCGGAGGGTGTGTGTGGAAAGCCGCTTTTGCCTAAAAGGGGGAAGGAAATGTGCATTTCCCTGTATTTTCAAAGGACATGACTATTGATTCCAGAGAAAGAGAGAGAGAGAAACGTCCATGATAAGAGAGAATCATCGCTCAGCTGCCTCCTGCACGGCCCCACTGGGGTGGGCCTGCCACCCGGGCCTGCGCTCCGACCGGGAATGGAACCCTGACCTCCTGGTTCATGGGTCTGTGCTCAACCCCCGAGCCCCGCCGGCCGGCCATTGTCCTGTCTTTCTAGAAAGAAGCAATGAAGGGCCAACCCAGGATCCAGCGAAACCGTCTCTGGGCCGAGCCGGGGCCGGGAGGGGGCGGGGGCAGGTTTGGGAGCGAGACCTGCTGGGAGCCGCGGGCCGTGCTCCCAACTCTGGAATCAGATGTTTCTACGACGGAAAATAGAAAGGGAACCGGGCTGAGAAGGAGAGTGCTCCGGGGAGAGACAGGGAGGAGGCACCGTGTGGTGGGAGCACCCTCGTTAGGACTGTTCCAGTGACCTGGGACAACGCTCACCCCCATCCCTAAGAGGCAAGCGCAGCAGCCTCCAAAGGCAAGCAAATGCCCAGCTACACTCAGCGATTTGTTAGCGCAGCTGGTCTGATTATTCTACTAGAGCCCAGGGCGCAGAATTCATGCACGGGGAGGAGGGTCCCTCAGCCCAGCCTGCACCCTCTCCAATCCGGGTCCCCTCGGGGGATGTCCCACTGCCTGTGGGGTCAGGCCTAAACCGGCAGTCGGACATCCCTCTCACAGTCCTGGACTGCTGCCTCCTAATTGCTCACCTGCCTGCCTGGCTGGTCACCCCTAACTCCTCTCCCCCCCACCTCCCGCCAGCCTGGTCACCCCTAAATGCCCCCCTGCTGGCCTGGTCACCCCACTCAGCCTCCTGCTCAGTCGTTCCATTGGCCCTCACTAACCCCTCTGCCAGCCTGGTCACCCCATGCAGCCTGTTCGGTTGTTTTGGTTGCGACGGTCTCTTAGGCTTTTATATAGATGGATGTAACGGGAAACGGCAACTACACAAGGAAAGAGGATTGTTGCTGAGTCACGGGGACATCCACGTTAACGGGTGGAAACCTGCTCGCTCCCGCGTTAAGTGGAAACACCAGTATGACTTGTCCCATTTCTCTCTTTCTAAGAAACTGTTTTAAGAAATATTCCCGCCCTGGCTGGTGTGGCTCAGTGGGCAGAGTGTTGGCCTGCACACTTAAGAGTCTCGGGTTCGATTCCCGGTCAAGGGCAGGTGACCGGGTCCCATTCAGGAGGCAACCAATGAGCTACCAAAAAAAAATTCTTGTTAAAACATGGGCTTAAAATGCTTTCTAAGTGTAAACCCAACGATCGAAAAGGAACCCCTCCCGCAGGTGTGGGGACCCCTCCCAGGTGTGGGGACTCCTCTCAGGTGTGGGGACCCCTCTCAGGTATGGGAACCCCTCCCGCAGGTGTGGGGACCCCTCCCAGGTGTGGGGACTCCTCTCAGGGGTGGGGACCCTCCCGCAGGTGTGGGGACCCCTCTCAGGTGTGGGGACCCTCCCTCCCGCAGGTGTGGGGACCCTCCCAGGTATGGGGACCCCTCTCAGGTGTGGGAACCCTTCTCAGGTGTGGGGACCCTCCCGCAGGTGTGGGGACCCCTCCCAGGTGTGGGGACCCTCTCAGGGGTGGGGACCCCTCTCAGGTGTGGGAACCCCTCCCGCAGGTGTGGGGACTCTCCCTCCCGCAGGTGTGGGGTCCCTCCCAGGTGTGGGGACCCCTCCCAGGTGTGGGGACCCTCCCGCAGGTGTGGGGACCCTCCCTCCCGCAGGTGTGGGGACCCTCCCTCCCGCAGGTGTGGGGACCCTCCCTCCCGCAGGTGTGGGGACCCTCCCTCCCAGGTGTGGGGACCCTCCCTCCCGCAGGTGTGGGCCCCCTCCCAGGTGTGGGCCCGGGGCTGCGCGGGCGGCGGCCCGGCCCTGAGGGAGCGCTTGCCGCAGGCGGCGGCTGGAGGGGCGCGGATGACAGCCGGCACCGTGGTCATCACCGGGGGCATCTTGGCGACTGTGATTCTGCTGTGCATCATCGCCGTGCTGTGCTACTGCCGGCTGCAGGTACGGGGCGGGGGGAGCCGGGGGCGCCCTGCCGGGGCTCAGGAAGCGGGAAGAGTCAGGTCTCGAGCAAAGTGCAAAGCAGACAGCCTGCCCTGCCTCAGCCCGGGGGCTCGGTGCCCGGCTGCCCAGGCTTCCCACACACAGCACTGGGCCCTCTCCCCTCCCCCACCCGCCCTCCGGGCAGAGGGGGAGGCAGGGGTGCAGGAGAGAGCATCTTTCTCAGGGAGGAGGGGAAGCCAGGTGTGGGCCAGGGCGGCACACGAGCCAGGCTGAGGCCAGCCCCCTGTGCCTCAGTTTCCCCAGCTGCACCATGCACTGCCTCCGGGAGGGGACGGGGGAATGGTGTGCCGAACAGAGCGAACCCTCCGTGCAGCGCTCAGCAGAGCGGCCGGTGGGAGCTCCCGAGGGGTGGGGCCGGGTCAGGCGGGGCGGGGCGGGGCGGGCGGCGGCCACTCACACCTCTGCGCCCGCCCGCAGTACTACTGCTGCAAGAAGGGGGGCTCTGAGGAGGACGAGGAGGAGCCCGACTTCGACCCGCACCCGGGCCTGCCGCCGCTGCACTCCAACCGCCACCTGGTGCTGACCAACGGGCCCGGCGCCTTCGGGCCCCGGTCCCCGCAGGCCCGCGCCCTCCGCCGCGGCTGCTCCCACTGCGAGCCGCCCGCCTTCCTCCTGCAGGAGCCCGAGGACCAGGGCGTGCGCAACGGCGGCGAGCGCGTGGCCTACCGCGCCATCAGCCAGGAGGACGTGGAGGGGCCCGCCGCCTGCGGGGGCCTGCAGCCACTCAACCCCAACCGCCTCTCCGCCATGCGGGAGGCCTTCGCCCGGAGCCGCAGCATCAGCACCGACGTCTGAGCGCCCTCTGTCCCTCCGCCCCCACCCCCCTCCCGGCCCCTGTCCACCCCGCAGGCCCCAGCCATGGAGGGGTCCCCATGGCCCTCCCGCCCGGCCCCGGGCCAGGCCCAGCCTTCCCCACTTCCCTGCCAGCACGGGGCCCCGCCCCCAGGGGCCTCTGGGGCTCAGAGCAGGGACAGGCAGGGCCCGGGGGCGAGGCCGGGGCTGGAAGGGGGGCGGGCGTGATGCCAGGTGAGCCTCAGCCTCAGGTGTCATGGGTCATGGCCTCCGGTCAGCCCAGCCGCCCGCCGTCTCCTGGCGGCCCTGCCACTCCCCGCTCGGCCTCCGTCTCCCTGCCTTGTCTGGGAGGGGCGGCCGCCAGGCTTCCTCACAGCGATTCTGGACCAGCTCTCCTCGCCCTCCAACCAGATGGGGTGGGCGCGCTCCCCTCCCCCTCGCCCCTGGCTCCCAGGGCCAGGTGGCCGACACCAGCTCAGCGGCCCCTCCGCAGACCCCTCGCAGGGCGGTCTCAGGGCCGGCCGGCCTCAGGGATTCAGTCCCAACTGGCTTTTTAAACAAATAATATATTTTTACTGATTTCAGAGAGGAAGGGAGAGGGAGAGGGAGAGGGAGAGGGAGGGAGAAACATCCATGATGAGGGAGAATCACGGACCAGCTGCCTCCTGCACGCTCCACCCTGGGGAACTAGCACGAAACCCAGCCTGTGCCCTGACCGGGAATCGAACCCTGACCTCCTGGGTCACAGGTCGATGCTCAGCCACTGAGCCTGCCGTCCGGGCACCAACTGGCTTTTTGATGAAAGTGAGAGAGGAGGCTCTGTCCCGCCCACCTGCTTCCGAGTGTCCTCTCTCCAGCACAGCCCACTCCTCACACCCGACGAGGTGGATGGACAGAGCAGTGAGACAGACTGACGCCCCGTGAGACCCGAGACAGGGCCCCCACACCACCCCCACCCCCACCCCCACCCCCACCCCCACCCCCCGCCCTGGGCCTCCGCCAGCCGCAGTCCCGGGGGACAGACTGCCCCTCCCGCCCCTTTCTCCGGAGGGTCTGGGAGCGAGGCCGGCCCAGCCCCCCAGCCCGGAGCCCCCTCAGCCCCCCTCCCCGGCTGGGGAAGCGGTGCCCGGGGCACCTGGGGACACACCTCCATCCCGGGGCGCCCGCCAGGGGGACGCAGCCCCTCACCCAGCACAGGCAGCGTCTCCCCTCCCAGCATGCCTCCCTGCCCCCCAGGGCTCTGCCCCTGGAACTCCGGGGTGGGGTGGCCCCGTCTACCCACAAGGATGGACCGAGACCCCTCTGGCCTTCCTACAAGGCCAGCTCTGCAGGCAGTGACCGTCCTGAGCCGCAGTCCGAGCAGCTGGTACTCGGAGTGCTGCGCTGAGACCGCCAGAACAGGCGGGCGTGGAGTTAGGAAGACTGGGGTTTTTGTTGTTTTTTTTTTTTATACATTTTTTATTAATTTCAGAGAGGAAGGGAGAGGGAGAGGAACATCCATGATGAGAGAATCGTGGACCGGCTGCCTCCTGCACGCCCCCTACTGGGGATGGAGCCGGCAACCCCGGCTTGTGCCTGACCGGGAATCGAACCGGGACCTCCTGGTTCACAGGTCAATGCTCAACCACTGAGCACACAGGCCAGGCCAGGCTGCTTTTAGCATTCCTGATTTTCCCCTCTTCCTTTCTCCTCCTGCCTCAGTTCAGACACTCCAGACTCCCCAGAGCCCCCCCACGCCCCCTTTGTGGACCCCACACGGTTTCCGATGCATTAGCGTGGGGCGGGGGGAGGGGCGCTTCCTGTGGCTTCCTGGCCCGTGTTCCTCTGTCCTTCGTGCTGTCTGCCCTCTGCATGGTCTCAGAGGTTTGGAAGGAGAGAAGCAGCAGCCGGGTGCGCCCTCAGCCCTCCCAGCAGAGCAGAAACCAATAAACCGACTTCCGCCCCGCATGCCGCCGCCTCCGTGCCCCCTGGGAGCTTCTGCGGGAGCGGGGCACCGCGGGGCCGCCTCTCCGTCCAGCCGGGGCAGGCTCTGCCCAGGGGGCGGCTGCTAAAGCCACGTCCGTCCGGGTCCCGGGGGCGGTGTCCATCTGAAGGATGGACCCGGGACCTGGACGCTGAGCTCTGGGCGCTGGCCTTTAGGACGGGGAAGCCCCGGGCACAGCCTGGCACACGGCGGACACAGCAAGTGCTGGCCGGAAGGAGGGCACAGGAGAGGGGAGATGGGAGGAGGGGGAGGGGTCAGGGGTCAGGGACAGGACACTGGGTCACAGAGACTCACCTGGAAACAAGCCAGGGACCCTGAGCAAGCCCACCCCCCGGGCTTCAATGTCACCCCATCACACATCCCCACCCCTGGTGGGGCCCCTGCTTGGGCCCCACGTCCGGGAAGCAGCCACTTGCCATCCTGCCGCCTGTCTGCCCCCAGAGACAGGGCTGTGCCGTGGCGGGGGCACCGGTGCCCGCCCCGGCTGCGGCACCCGTCTCCCCCGAGACCCCTGCCAGCGGTGCCACCTCACCTCCCCCCTCCTCAGGGAGAGCCCCTCCTGCTGTCGGGCCAGCCTCCACGTCACCTCCTCCGGGGAGCCCTCCTGGGTCTTCACCCCAGTCCACGAGAGTAGGGAACCCTCCCGTGAGGTCCAGACGGTGCTCCGTGTGGCCCGCCCGCCTGCCGCGTCCCCCTGCCCCGCCCAGCGCACCCCGACACAGGCACTTTTCTCGGAGTCTCAGACTGTGGGGTTCACACCAGCACCTGCACCGCCACGTCCCACAGGGCCCTCCTAGTGCCCTGGTCCTCTCAGATCTTCGTGTTTCACTTGGAGCCTCCAGGCATCCAGCCTCCCAGCCCCAGGTCCCCACCACCAACAGCCTCAAGAACGGGACTCATTTCTGACTTCCGTGGAGTCCTGGTGCCCCGACACTCCTGCCTGCGGGCCCCCCACCCTGCCACCTGCCGCCCCTTGGGGGCTGCTGCGCCCGGCAGCCCAGCCCCGTCCCTGGTCCCGCGGCCTCGGCAAACCTCCCTCTGGGGGGCGCTGCGCGGCCGGCCTGACTCAGCCACGGCGAGCCCCGTGCCACCATAAATAGACACTTTATTAACGCGGGTGCTGGCGGAGGACAGGCGGGTGCTGGGAGGTGCTCTTCCCGGCTAAAGTGCGGTGGCCCCGAGCCAGCGTGGCGTGGGGAGGCAGCGGGCGCGAGGATGGCAAGGAGGCTCCTATGGAGGAGTCACCATGCAGGCCCGGGCCCCAGGCGGCCCCTCCTCTGCCCGCCCGCCCTCGCCGCCACCCCGGGGGCAGCAGGACCGCCCAGGGCTGAGCAGCCTTGGGGGGCAGGAGGGATGGTCACCTCCACCTCTGGGCTCTGGGCTCTGGGCCCCGGGCAGCCGGGTGCTGGGCGAGGTGCTCAGGCCCTAAGGGTGACGGCCCACGGGGGGCGCCGTCCGGGAGGCCCGGGTGCGGCTCCCCTCCCGCAGAGCGAGGCTCAGTTTCACATCTTCGCGGCCAGGGGCCCGCAGGGAGTGCCCGGGCCCGGGGGCTGGTCTCAGGCCGGGCGCCCGCAGGGAGTGTCCCGGGGGCCGGTCTCAGGCGGCGGCGCGGCCAGGCCGGGGGCCGGTCTCAGGCAGCGGCGCGGCCGGGGCCGGGGGCCGGTCTCAGGCGGTGGCTCGGCCAGGCCGGGGGCCGGTCTCAGGCGGCGGCGCGGCCGGGGCCGGGCGGCCGGCAGGAGCGGCAGCACGCCTTGCTGTAGTACCAGTGGCCACACAGGTTCACCTTGATGGCCAGCGCGCAGTTGGTGCCCGGCTGGTCCTGGCAGCTGTCATCTAGGGAAAGGGGCACGGGCATCAGGATGGGACCACCCCTCTGCCTGCCCCCTCCCCCCACCCCACCCTCAGCTGAGGGAAGGGTGTGCACAGGGTGCCCTGGGGGACGGGGCACCTGTGGACAGTGGTCCTTCTGTGCCCATGGCAGAGTCAGGGGCACTGGGCCTCCCGGCCCTTGGCGGGCACCCGGGCTCATTTCTCTGCCACCCAATGCTGTCCCCGGCCCAGGACCGACATGGGTCCTCATGAGCAGTTTGACCTGAGCAGGGGCAAGAGTGACGTCCAGGGGCCAGGGCCCAGGGACCTCACCCCCAAAGTGCCCCTGGGAGGCCCACAGCGCCTCGTCAGAGCCCATCCTGTCCACCTCCCCTGTGCCCAGGCCAGAGACACAGTCAGCCCCTCGCCCCTGCCTCCTGCGTGCCCAGCTCTGAGGCCCCTACTGCTGCTCCCTCTGCCCCCGCCACCGAGCCCAGACTCTGCCCAAGGAGCAGAGCACGGTGGCTCCCAGACCCTGAACACCAGCCAGGTCTCACCGGCCGCCCCTCCTGCCCGCCCTGCCCGCCCGCCAGGCTCAGCCATCCCGGGGGACCTTGCACCCTACCTGGTGCCCGGGCGACAGCCCAGGCCCTGGCTCTTACCACGCCTCCCGGGAAGCCACGCCCCCTCACCTGGGGGCTCCGTGGGGCAGGGCTGCAGGTCACAGGCCAGCCTGCCCACCGGCTTCACCAGCGGGTCGCAGCCGCGGACGAGGTCGGTCCCCTGGTAGCACTTCACGTCCCGCATCCTCACGCCTGCCCCGCAGGTCTTGGTGCACTGGGGGAGGGGGGGGAGGGCGGGGCCGCCGTCGCCACGGGCTGCCGAGCCCCAGCTCACGCGGCACACACAGCTCGGGTGACGAGGCGGGGGGGGGGGGCACTGGCTGGCGGTCAGGAGGCTGGTCCTCAGCCCCACCAGGCGCGGCCTCAGTTTCCCGCCCACACAGGAGGGGGTGAGCCTCTGCTCTCCGCGTCCCCCCAGGCTCTCCGGGTCCCTCGATGCCCAGGACGCGGGGCCGGGCCCCGGAGCACCGCTCTCTCTCCCGTCAAGAGCCGCGTTTGCCGTGGGCCGGCTGCACGGCCCCGAAGCCCCCTCCGCGCTCTGTCCAGACGCTGCCCTCGGAAAACCCCGCCGAGCGGCCAGACTCCAG